TTTCTGCAGGTGGGTTTGAATCACTGCTGCAGCTCAGAGTCACTGAATCTTCTTTTTCACCAGTTGGACTGATGGACACTGAGACATTCTTTGGAGAGTCTAAAAAAGATCAATAAACCATAAATTTGAGACTACAGTTTGTTTAGAAAACATAGTGTCGTCATCATCATCATCATCATCATCATCAACAACTTAGGATACAAAATTATTTCACACCATTGCATTTTGGTTGCTGTTAAGTTTCACAGTGGAAACTAATGATAAAAACTTAAGTTACGTATATGTCTGATAGAAGCTTAAGCTTTATGTTTGTATTATCCCATGGCCTACACCTGACAAACAATGAAAAAAAGTTACCACTGTGCCAGCTACAAAATTCTGTACATGCAAATTTGTCTCAATTAAGCAAACACAACATATAATTATTATACCTGGTAATACAAAGAATATCTTAAAACACAGAACAAGGAAATTGGAAGAAGGCTGGGTTTAACCTCAACAATATGTTTTCAGAGTTGTCTTTTAAAAACTCTATACATGTGATGTGATACTGACATCAAACTGAAACTGAAATGTAATTTGTTTCATGAAAATCTGTTGGTCCGTTACATGTGCACAGCTCTACGTGTGCATGCAGCAATTCACTCTGACTTGTCCACTGTTTTGAGAAATCAAGATTGATCCAAAAAAAACTGCTCATAGAAAATTATGTAATTTCTTCTTTGAGTTGAATTTCTCCCATGTTGAATATTCTGTTCTGTTCCGTTTGTCGCAATAACAATGCAAGTTCACACGTTAACATCTGACAACATTTTTCACTCTTGTTTTCCTGTCAGGAGATTCTCACTTTAGGATGTGGAAATAATGTTTATAACATTTCACAGGTGATGAGCTAAATATGAAATAATATTTTCATTTCAGATTTATAGTCAACAAGCTTTTTAACTTTTCAAATTATAACCAAATACTCACACATGACATTGAGATGAACAGCAGGAGAGATGTAAAGACGAATCATGAGAAACGGTAAGAATGATGTAAACATTTCATAGGAATGTATGCAATGTGATTAATAGAACCAATGATTTGCAATAAAGCAAGCATGAACCAGCAACTCTAAATCTGGCCCTCAGCAGGGCATGAGCAGATCATATAAAAATGTATGAATTAGTTGCTACAAATTGTTTCGAGACTGTGTTGGATTACAGATATTTAGATAATGTCTTGTCAAAATGAATAAACCAATAACTCACACATGATGTTTAAAGTCACAGCATCAGAGTATTTCTCTCCAAGTTTATTTCTGGACTTGCACTTGTATTCT